GTCAGCAGGTAGACGTCTGTATTCCAGCCGCGTAGCTTGCGTTTGACTGTTCTCTGTGGCTTCACTTTGTGTGTTTTCGGAAGACGTGGCTTCAAGAGGTGTGGGATTTCCGCGTTCAGTCGGCCAAAGGAGGCAGATTGCTTGTACCAGGATTGTACGAGGCTTGACACGAGCCACCAAGGGGACGCGCACATAGATGAGGCTGTCGAAAGTGATTGTGTCGACAAAGCATAGGTTTCCAAATAAAAAAAACGGGAAGACGGAATAGACTGGAACGGCTCTTACTGCGAGAAAAATGAACTGTACAAGGGCTGTGTCAGGTGCCAGCTACCATCTGTGTTTTCACGCTAGTTGCGTTCGTGAACGTGTGCTGTTGGGAAGCTTTGCATGTGTGATTTGTGCTCTGTCGCCTGTGGAGCCAATCAGCTGAAGCGGGGCGTATCGTTTGGTATCGAGTGTACGCGCGAATGGATTGCCAAGTCCACTGATAACGCCAGGAAGACCGACGCGAGATAGGTTGCCATTCGGGAATCCAAGTCACGGCAGACGATGGTAGGATGAGTCAACAAGGCGGAACTGGGTGCGCGGGCACCCACAAGGGCTTCTCGTGCGGCTAACTGTCTTGCTCACCCTAACACACGCCCACAGGGACTCGGAATCAGACAATGTCTTGAGAATGCAATGCAAATCGTATCGGGGGAGGCTCTAAGATCTACTTTCTTTTCAGTTCTTTGAACACGAAGGAAAAAATTGACAATTTTTGCGAATGTGGATGACTCCCTGCGGGAAAAATGGCCGTAGCTTATATGTTGCCTGTCGAGAAAGGTGACAGACTTCCAGCGTTTAACACGTGAAAAACATACAAAATTGTTTCTTATTGATATTGGACTATTCATTAAATGTCTACAGTGCTTCCGCTCATGTCAGTGCAGTCTTAGAAGCGAAACATACACACCTTAAAGAGTCTTTTATAATCACATTTTTAAGCCCGTCATATTCGGCTTCAATTTTGTCGTGATAAATTTGCGTTTCTCTAAATATTTTCCGCGCAATTTATGCCCTCTTCGCTCGAAAATAAATTTATTCATGAATGATTTATCTAGTCTCCTAAACAGCTTTCCGCATATAATTCTAGGGATGTTCAATATTCCCGTGCCCCTGTGCTAATACTTATCCTAAACCTTGACCGCTATCTTAACCCTAACCGTAACCTTAACCGTAATACAACAGTACGCATAATCCTAACCTTAAAATAGACCTTAAATTCAAGCATATACTTAACCTCAAGTCGAACCCATAATAAAGACATAATACTCACTTTAAAACGCAATCGAAGTGTGCTACAACCACAACAGTCTAGAAACTCGTGTGCTATGTGAAAATACTTTCTGATTTCTCCAATAATTACCTCAAAGGTGTCGGGTGTGATAAAGCCGAATTTGCGAATATTCTTCAACCGTTTGGTCCACCGCTGTTATGAGCAGTCCTTACAGACTCGCTATCACGCTGTCCTGATGACTCGTCGATCGGCTTACGCCAACAGCCACAATTAGTGCTCTGTTCTACCGTTCTGGTGAGCCGGAAAGCCATTCGGCATATTACTTCTAAAGGACGTTATCCGATTGGTTCGATTGCACGCGACTGTACATGCACTGTTTGCCTTAAATACCCTGTGCTAAATACATAAAGGGAGTTCCATTTTTGTGCTCTTGTTGTTTTGTTTTTCCTCACGAATTCAAACGAGGCGTTAATTGACAGCCTTGGCAACATTATAACAACTTTCATATACCAAACAGACGCCTCCTACTGATCACTATCCAATGCTTGAACTTATATTTGTTCGGAGGCCACACGGTTCACATTTCTGATTAGGCCATGCTATTCTACTTAACTAGGGTAAATATGCATGCTCACGTTTTATCACAAGTAGCAAATAGGTCTAACCCGTTAGGTTTTAAGTCCACAAAGTTGAGGAAGAATTTCTGAGCAACGCCAACGCCACGCCATTTTTGCTGTGGGGGATTTCAGGAAGGGCAAACCTCAGCTTTGAAATTCGAGCCCATTAGTTCCAAGTAGTCGCTGGTAGGGGATATTCAGTCTTCCGTCAAAGCTGCTTCGACCTAGTCCATATTCTGTTCGTTATTCGAAATCTTTTAAAGCTCCTCGCCTTAGAAGTCCGCGAAGTCAAAATATCTAGTCGCAGATTTCATAAACCACTGGACCAGGTTTTCTATCTGTAACTCGGCCGCCGGCCCAACCTTTGAGGCCATAGGCTGGATGGTTGTTTGACTCACAAAAAATCTGCTTTTGGTGGTTTCATTATAAAAAGAGGGAAGAGCTACTTTTAACGAACACCAGAGAAACGCTTAGCTTCAAAACACAGAATTTGGCTTTTCTCGATAAAAGTGAACAGGCGAGTTCCAGGCAGAAGCTCACAAAGAGAGTGAATAGTATTGCGCTTACCTGCGACGGGACCCGGCCATATATTTAAACTTGACGAGGCCAAAATCCTCGAAAGAGGTGACAACCGCATGAGCCACGACCCGCTCGAGTCATGGTTCTCAGGCCCACGTTCAGTCAACTAGCACAATGATTTGCCGTTTGCATACGGTGTGCTGAGACATTTCCAGAGCAACAGAAACAGTCACGTGGGAAAGACCGGGCACAGCAACAACTCTGACGACAGCAGGCATAATTGTCCCGCAATCATCA